TTGCAGGCCACTGAAGCCGGCATATCTGCACCGCATGACTTGATACGCAGCCCCTATCACCCACCTCTCAAGGTCACTTCTTTAATAAGAAACACTGTGTAGCTCTCATTAGATGGTATAGTCTGTCTTCCTATCGCTCGAGTGATATTTGAAGAGTCGTTCCAGTACAGTAGCAGAGGAGCCTAGAAAACTAGCTCTATCCAACAAAATAAAAAAGTTTCAAGTAAAATGCGCGTTGCTAAGTTTACTAAGTCGTGCGTTTTTATCCCTTTCCTGGCTCTAGTTACTCTAATCTATGAAGAACTCTGCAGTGTCTACTTTCCCTCAGTTCAAATGAGAGAGCCAATCGCTGCTAACGAATACCGAGGTGGGAATAATTTTAGACCTTAAAACTGTCTGCGCTGTGGTCATAGTGCAGACGGTTCTAAAGGAGCGGTGCAACCATTTTAGTACTTTGGGTAAAATACCACTTAGAATGAATTCATGACGCTTTTGACATATGAAACGCTGCGTTGGTGTTTGTCCTCGTGCAATGGTAATCGCGAAAAAAATATCAGCGTTTCTACCTCATTTCGCAGCCAGAACAAGCGGCCACGTGATCTGATTTGATATGATATAAAATGTTATATTTATTTCAGCCCAGAAGAGCAGCGGCGGGAAAGTAGATCTGGGGCCGATTATATGCCGTCAATGTTTATCATCGCCGCTCGCCGGGGTTTCCAAAGCACAAACACGCGCTGAGTCCCAGACATTGTTAGGGTTCGGCTACTGCCGTCTTTGAAGCGATTGGGTACGACTCACCACTACCCGAATGCATGCTTGTCGAGCTATCGATTATTGCGAGTCCAAATCGACTGCTCACACAATGCTCGGCTCCAATCTACGAGCCGCATTCAAATATCGTCACTTGGGGACATTGCGACCTCTAAACTGCGTCATCACGTTTTGCGAACGAGAGATTAAGAGAAAACGCTCGGTTTTACTCTTGAAATTACACCGCAACAAAGAGGTTTCTTGGTCAAAGGCGTTGCGCGCGTGGATATATGGGTCCCACTTGATATGCCCGTACGTTCGTGTAAAGTGAAAAACATTTCAACTGAATATCGTTGCACCACACCTTTAAGGTCTAAACATAACTTCAGCCTCGTTATTCGCCGAGCTTCTCTGCAAAAGGCATCGATAAACTCTCTCAAGCGCATTTTTGGGACAGTCGGTGCTTCAGATTTGTTACAACCTTGGGGAATATCCTGTAGTGACTGAATTAACAAATAAGTCGGACAAAGATATAACTCTTATATATTTATTCGTTTATTTTTTTTTATTTGCATTTATGCAATGAAGGAACACAGTAACGACCTTCATTTACACCTGACCGCGATTCTAGTCTCAACAGTGCCTTGGTATGTGCTCATTTGAGTTGTGCTTGTTTGTGTGTGTGTATTTTTGGGGAGAGGGGGGTGGGGGGGGGGGGTGGCGGACACTCCTTGCCTGCGTCATAGGAACAGTGCTGCCTTGCGATCTTTGTTGCCTATACTTAGAGAAAAGGAGTGCGAGAGGACAGTCCTACCATCTCACTGCATCTGGCAGTCGTTTAGGCATAGTCTAAAAAAAAATAAAAGAAGGGGGTATCACTTTACGCTTTTTTGCCCCATATTTTTCACTTCTTTTAATTATTGAGTTTATTTCGTTGAATTTTACGCTGACGTGGCAGCGAATACGACAAGCACAAGCTAGCTCTCGCTTTTAATTTTAGAAAGGTATCTTTGTAGCGCAAGCTCCCGTTTTCAAAACCACGGTCAGGAGCCTGTAGCCTTCGCTCTATGTCACCCTCTTGTTCCTACATCTGTGGCGCATATTATTAAAGGAATAAATGAAATGGTCGAGGTCTTGAAATCTGAAGGAAATTTTACCATGGACACCGAACAAAGGAACGCGACTCAGAGACGATTTTCAAAAAACAATGACATCTGAAGAGGACGATCCCAATGAGCATTTTTCGTGCAGTCTTTTTGACTGGCTGGACGCCTGGGTTGACGTATGAGAGAGCGAGAACCTTACCAGTGGAACGCTAACCAAGGAGACTCACGGAGCACTCCGTCAAACAACCCGTGCACTTTTACAGATCACCGAATACTGCTTCACTGAACTCGGGCTGAAGGCCTCCTCTAAAAGAACTGAACAGATTGATAGCACACGAAAAGATTGACGAGCAAACTTTTATAGTCTTTACAAATCCTTGACATTGAGAAACTTTTTTACCATGTCCTAGAAATATTTTACTTGAACTATGTCCGGCTGGGAAAGGTTCAGACTGATAGCTGGGAAGACCGTTTTGGGAGGTACAGGCAGCTGGCTGGCTCGCAATATCGCATATCTATAAGGCAGGTATAGGGAAATTAAAATAAGCTGTGACTGCAGAGTACGTTGCCGACAACCCCATATGAAGACGAGCGCTGGGAGGAGCTTGAAAAACAAGTATACACGCCACGGCCCAGCTGCAACATGGTATAGTTACGGGAGAGGCAGTGTCACACGCGATAAATTGGACACTCCCAATCCTAGTGTCCGTGGCAGGGCACACAGTTTATGCCGCTTTGAAAAAGCCGAAATGTGACAATTGCAGGGCGAAACTTACCGAAGAAGCTAAGACGGCAACAGCTTCACTTACGCAGAGAACAACTCTCTTGTCAAGCAATTGGATTAAGGGGGACTCCTTTATCCAACTATGTTCGCCGTTAATGCCATGACACACAATTACGTTGCTCAAGAACTCTCCAAGCAGGCAGAGTTCATGAAGGTTCCGATCCAGCGTCAGTTCGTCAGCGAGCTTACAATGGAACTGCTGTCTACCAACGAGACTTCTGACTTCGATGGATCTGAAGAAGGACACAAGTGAGCTCGTGCTGAAGAACTTGTTCTGGTGCAGCACGAACATTGTGCTGAAAAACTATTGTGGAAAGGTGAACGAAAAGCTTATGAGGCTAATTCCAAGTCAAAGAAAAGAAAATGTCAAACCCTAAAATCTAAATAATTAATTTATATTTAGTGCAACAGTTGTCATATCATTATTATTGCGTACATTGCCGTACATGTTCTGTGTCTTAGTGTACCGAAAGCTACAGAGCGGCATCTAAGTTGCTTGTGTTTGAATTGTGTCAAGATTTATACATCTTGATACAATCTTGATACAAGAAGGAAGTATAGATACACAAGAATATACAATTTGAAGCTTTCAAAGGTAAGAGAACTTATATTCAGAGCATCTATTCGTAGTGTGAATGAACGCGGGTAGATGTGTGCATGAAGCTCTCACAGCTGCATGTGTCCCTTACTGAAAATTATGCTTTAAATTTGCTAAGTTTGCCTGCACACGGTTAAATCAAAACTTGCGCGCTTTGATCTAGGTGGCGTCTTTGCTTCTTTTTTGTGTCTTATCTGCGTTTAATTTCTCGTCTTTGTGTCTCCGTTTCGGATTAGTTACTTTTTGAAAAACATTCCCCAGTTCGCCTGCAGTTTAGTTTTTATTATCATATGTTTACTTCTGGTAAAAATAATTTCAGCACATTATATTTTTTTTTTTTGTGCTACACAAGTCCACATTTTTTTAAAAATAATCTTCTTTTCATTAGCTTCACATAAGAATTCAGTAACCACACATGTCATCACCAACTTGATTGTTGCTGTTATGCATTTTGACGGGTTTCATCACTTACAATAACGTTTTAAGGCATTTATCTTTGTTTGTTTGTGTTTCAAACTCCTAGTGATAATTAAAGCACCCAAAATTTAGATGCCTAAAACGAAAACCCATCTCTCTCAATACGTCGTTAACCTTGTTCTTTCATATCATAACAATAATTGTACGTCCTAATACGCTGCCCGTGTAATAAAATATGTCTTCCCCAGTAATATGGATATCCAGAAATCCTTTTTACCAAATAACAAACGTTTGGGTCAATAAAAAATGCCATTCTACGTCGGTAAATCTATGCGCGACGCCTTCAGTGCAGCGCTTTTCCGCGGCGCTCGCCAGCCGACCCGTGTGACGTCACCGGAGGAGCGCGCGCGGCCTTCAGCTCTAGGTGGTGTTGGGGGTGCAAACCAGTCCCCCCCCCCCCCCCCCCCCCCCCCAAGAGCCGGGGAGCGGTAACCTTGGTATTCCTTGGGCGCCGCCGGACAGTGTTTGCCCTGCCCAGTGGCAGCTGTATCAGGGGGGGGGGGGGGGGGGGGTCAAAACATATGCCTTGACCCCTCCCCCCCCCCCCCCCCCCCCACACTCTGAGAACTGGAGGGGGGGGGGGGCAAGCGTTTTCGCATCCCCACCCTTGCGCCTGCTGCACGACCAGTAACTTTTAGGCTCGCCTCTTTGTCCCTGTTTTTTGAGCGCTAAAATGTATTCCAAATTCCAAAACCAACTAGCCCAGCAATCGACTCTTCTAATTCAAACCATACGCTTTATGCAATAATAAAAACATTAATTAACAAATATTAACTAATTCTCCGGATAACTCTGTCCATTTGCCCCCTACACTTTGTCCCAACTGCTGTTTAACTCACCAGCACAGAACGCGTTAGTGTAGCTCTCACGGCTTTATGATTTAAGCCAAAATCCGTAAACTTTATTTCTGAACGCATACGCATTTGCCTTCTTACCAGGTGAGAGGGGTATTCTTGATGCGCAACACGTGCAATACGTGTTGTTGGTTGCAGCTGTCCGTCACCGCTCCAAAAGCAAAAAAAACAAAAACGAAAAAACGGCGATGCGTACGGAATATATTTCACGCTGCCTTGACTCTCTGCCTTCACCTTGACGTGGGCACAGCCTGGTATGTGCAATTTCAACACCTTCAAGCCGTTGCAGTTTAAGTGCTTGCATTGACATTTGCACAACCACTTCGAACAGCACGGTATCTGCGTGTCTTTTTTTTAGTAAACCGAGCGCAATCACGCTGCATATAAAAGAGGGCTACGCTGCTACGCAGCAAGCACGTTTTCGACAACGAGCGGCGCTTCAGGTCCGAAAAAGTATCGTCATGAAGTTCGCGCTGGCGTGTCTGATGCTGTCAGTGATGGCTCTCGTGGTTTCTGCGCGCAACGAGCATCATTGTAGTAAGTTTAAAAAATACAAATGTCAACGCCTTTGATTTCCTTCAGTCATATTCGTTCACCTTGCTTTATTTTGTTTGAATCTGCTCTTGCAACTCTCTGGTGTTTTAGCCGAGAATTTAGTTTTCTTTTTTTAACTGGGGTTTGGATGATTCTAATATAATCAAGTATAATGTCACGGATGTTGCGTGACGGACGGATATGATGTCAGTGAATGATGTAACGTTACTAACGTATGTAAAGTCACGGACTTTACGTTTGTGAGCTACATTACTGTCCCACTAAATGTGCAGCGCGTCTCTTAGCGTGTGATTTAATTTCAGAAATCAACGTATTCTCCGCTCACAGAAGTTTGGCCTGAACCTAGTTCTCTTTTATTTCATAATTTAGATTGCTACATTAGGTGCGCTTGTTGTCTTTTTTAATGACTTGCTTGGAACTACTGGTCTAAGAAACGTTACCTCTTCGTCGCACCCATCGAACTCTTAGGAGTGCTACAATATGGAGGGCACGAACGCCCAGGTTTGATGGTGTTTGCGATACTTATTTCAAAATTAATTTTGTTTATTTTTAGGTCAGACACTTTAGATATAGACAGGTATTTAATCAATAAACAATTATTCCTTTAGCCTTCCAGTAGCTTTTCACGTCTTAGAACACTTTTGCACTCACCGTCAATTATCCTTACTATCGATTTTGATGTAACTAAGTTTAGAATGATTCACTTAAGTAAGCCCTTCGGATAAGCGGTTTAAATGGGAATATGAACATCAATAACACAAAACGAGTTACAGATATCACCGCTCAAGGAGCCTACGTTAATAAATAGTCTGCGCACATGTGAGGTAATGATGATTAAAATGAACCTGTGCCTCAAAGTGTCGGTACACCTCGTCAATTGGCTAACCAAATGGATGTACATTTAGCATGAAATTGTATTCAATGCATGATAGTGTAATTTGTTTTTCGGTGATCAAGTGTGTTAGCGCATTGTTGCTCAGAACACATCTGGAGTGATAACTCACGTTGCAGGAGTCAGATATTATTTCGGGGTTTGATAATTCTCCCTGCTTGCTTCGATCTGGATGAGCATCTTAATCCCGTGACAATCTAACGTCGCCTGAACACCTAACGCATTGATTGCTGTAGCTGTCCGCTACTTAAATCGCCGCGAAACGAATTTTACTTTAAACGAGATTAACTTCTTCTTTTGCAGAGAAGAGCGACGCCGAAATGAAGAAACTAATAGCCTGCGTTATAGCGAAGGTTCCAGACGCTAGCAGTGTACGTACCTGAATTGTTCTTGCGTATTTATAGTTGCTTTTATAACCAAATTGTTTTGTTGCGCCGATTTGTAGAATAGCGCGAGCGTTCAAAAGAAGTGTCAGACAATTTTTTCAGTCTTATACTGCAACTCGCTTTTATATTCCCAGATGATTTATTCTAATTTATTCGCTTTGCTATCTTTTTACAATGCTTTGGGACAACAATGTCGCTCGTTTTGAGTGAGGGTGAACAGGAATGTATAATGTCATACACCTGTACATCTGAAGACTACTACTAAATGCTCTGTTGCATCCGCTTTCAAATGAGCAAGGCATAGCATACATCCTCGTGGGGAAAATATGTACCTCTCTTAAGTAGTCGTTTTCTGAATATATCTTAAGAGATTCCCCATAACGCACAGAAACTGGGTCAAACGAAATAGAGTCATCGTGGTCGTTGCATATCATAGGTACTTTTTTAAATGTAGTAAATAAAATTATTCGCGGTTTTGCCCCCCTAGGGAGATAGCAAACACCAGTTTTTTTTATTTTCCGGTAAAGGCTTGACTTTAGGGTCGAGCATGCTGCGAAAAAACTACAGAATTTGCCCTGCCGCGTTTGCTTTATTCACGTCACGTGCAAGGCAAACGTGCCACCGGGCGCACAGTCGTCTGTTGTTTTATTCCACGGAGTCTAGCCTCCTACAATGTCAAGTTTTTGGCAAACGACGGAAGTAGCGCTTATGAAGACACAATGCTTTGTTCTCTATTTTTGTCCAATGGGATAAACTTAGACACATGAAAACGTTGCTCCCGTCACTAAAACAAGAAGAAGAAACGCAGGAGGAGCGAGCATTATCTTGTATCTCCGCAGTGAATGAAATAAGAGCATTAACTGAAAATCATCCGGAAGAACGAATCACTAACAAGAAGGTCGAAAATATAAGGTCACGTCCTGCGTTTCTGAGGTTGTCGGTGGCTCAAACAAAACAGCCTTGCATCGCGCAGTGTTGAGGCCGAAGTGCTGAGCGAGAAAATGAAACACTCGTTCAGTAGCTTAAAGTAGACATTTTTAATAAACAAACGGCTTATACAAAGAAATGCACTAGTTAAATTTCGCAATCGTCTTACACTATCTGCACTGGAGGTACAGATGCGCTCGTGCTTGTTCCAAACCCGCGATTTCGTGCCTGTAGCCTTCAATTCCCTCTCAGCCTAAAGACAAACATCTCGGCCGCCACCATATCTTTGGTGTAGCAAAATTACCATTTGATGTAAGTTATTCCTTATACACCAGACAACGTCTTCACATACACCCCACAACTAAGTGAAAAACCTTTATCCCAATACCCTACAATGAATCCATCGATCTATCCCCTAAAGCAGCCGTTTTCACAACGCAGTTCTACGACACGCTCGACAAAATGATCAAGGAACTCGGATGCACTGAAAGGCTCTGCGCCGTGCGAAAGCTGTGCGGCCACGAAGATGTGGTAAGCATGTTTGAGCCCCTTTCCGGAGAGCCTCTATGGTGTATTATAGTAGCGAGAGAGGCCGAGAGAAAATAAATGAAAGCTTTGGAGATATTCCGTATAGGAAAGTATATCCCACTCTTTGTGTACCGCGCAGACGCGCATACGTGACCAGTTGTGAACCAACGTCACGCGATTCGCCGTCGTCCATTCACCGAGCACGCATCGGGCATGACGACTTCCTGCGTCTGGAAAGAGTTGGTTTTCCGTCTGCGTCCGGCGGTGCCCGATGCGTTGCGATTCTCTTTACTAAACATCGGGGAGCTGTACGACTACTCTAATCCCTATAAGAAAAATTATATTTGCGTACTGACTGACAACTTACGAAGCGCAGGTCGTTGCGCGTCTCCAGCATCGCACCCAATGAGATTGTAAAAATTAACCGCAATAAGAGTACCAAGAAACGAATCACCACGCATTACGCGTAAGCGCAACATGCTAGGCCGTGCCTTTCGAGACCTGTCAGCAACTAGAGCACGAGACACGATGCCTAAAATATATATTCTGCCCTCTGGCACTGAGCCGACACCATCTAGAATAATGAGGGCCTCCGAACGCCCCACTCTTTTTTCCGTGAAACGTCAACAGAGTGGGATGGCTCCAACTCGGCAGTCAAACCCCGAGCCCGACTCCGAGCGTCCTTCGACGCGTTGATTGGTCACGAGGCCAAGTCGAGCACTGACGCAGCACTCGTCCCCAATCTGCGTCTTCGCTCGATCTCACTGAGATGACGTCAAAATTGGAGCGCTCACTGGTTTGGATTATCGTAGGTGGTGTTGACTGAGCACGGCAAAGCGAAGTGCTTTGTGCCGCAGAGCAGACGCTCCTTTTAAGTCTAGACCCATTGTCAGCCACATCACTCACCGAGCTCTTTTCGGTAGATTACGGCGATTGGCCCTTCCAACTGCTTTGGGGGAAAGTAGACCTCCCCATGTTGGTAACGGGAGAAAACAGCGAAACAACTTTCAGCTTTTCTACTCTAGTGAAGAAGGAAGACCAGCGAAGGTGTACTATTGTGGGAATGGAGAAATGACTGGCCGCCAGTAGGCAAGCCAGAGGGGAAAGGCTAGAAAGGTTGCTGCCATCTATAAGCGACGGCTTCAACCAGACAACCGGCGAATAGGCTGTCTGGTTGCTGCCGTCGTTAATAGATAATGGTTGCTGTCCGCAGTTTTGTGTCGAGATTTGTTTGCCCACGGACGCGATACTGGGGAAACTAGCCCTTAACAGATCCGCTGTAAAAAGACACAGGGACAAGTAGATGAAAGACACAAACGCTAAGCTAACTCACGACTTAGTTTTTTTTTTTTTTTTTCCTTTGAGACATAAAAGCAATGAAGCGAGAAAAAAGAAAAATACTAAAAACGAACAAATCATTCGTGAGTTCTTCATACAGCAGAAATTTAGTCTGCCAGAACATGGCGACATTGTTACCTACTGTAGGTGAGCAATTTAGCCAGTGCAGCGTGCGACTGCCAGCCTGGGGTCTTTAACGTGCATCACGCATTAGTGATACACGACCGCACGCCGGGACGATGCTCATCCAGATCGAAACGGGCAAGGGTCTTGAAGAAGAAAAACGAAACGAAGTCGTGAGTTACCGCTGTATTTCTGACTTTCGTCTACTTTTCCCTGTGTCTTTTTTTGAGCCCCTTTCTCCCGTTACAAATGTGCACCGACTAGCCCAACCTCAAACTCTGTTACACACCCTCCATATTGTTCAGAGTGAATTAGGCTGCCAGCCCGCTTGTACGCTCGGGCGTTCCATCTTCTCTTTTACGATATTTCTTAGTAAAAAAAATGAAAAAAAAATATAATCAGCCTAAAGGCTCGTCTTTCAATTGGATCATGAACTGCGAAAAGCTATCCGTCGAACTTTGAGAAAGGTGATTCGCGACCTGGTACATATAGCGTTCTAAATCAACTCGACTATCAATATGACACCTTCGCACATGAGGAGCAAAATATTTATTTGAGTAGATTGCATTGCTGTCTTTGACGAGGACCAGGCAGGGCGTAATATTCAAAATATAAACCGACGAAGCTAACTTGCGCCCCGACACTGCGCAGACGCATCAACGTGCGGTTTCAGTTTTTGCTGCAAGCGCTTTGACAGTGGCTGTATCATCTTGAATTACGTGACGCGATCGGCTCTTCTTATTTACCGCAGGGCAGTAGTCTCAAAATCTTCAATACAGCGGAGCTGTTAAGGGCTAGTTTCCTTAAGATCGTGTCCCCCGCAAAGAAATGAAGACACCGAACTCTGGACACCTGCCGCCACCTATGAGCGACGGCGGCAAGCCACGTATCTGGTTGCCACCGTCGCCCATAGATGGCGGCAGCCTTTCCACTCTTGCTTGCCGACTTGAGGTCGGCCATTACTTTCCATTTTGCAGCTCCGCTGATCTTCCTTCTTTACCAGAGTGGAAAGGCTGAAAGTTTTTTTTTATTCCCAGCGCATATTAATTGTTTACACTATTTCAATGCGTGCACGTTTTTTTCTTTTTTTTTTGGCATTTGATGATTGATAATAATATGAAACATCCTCTGTTTACTCTTGTTGTTTCCACAGGAGGGGGCCTTCAAGAAATATATTACAGTAAGCCTGCGTTTTATAGCTACCGTATCTTCCGCGAATTTATTTTTGCATTCAAAAAAGAAAACAAAAAGAAAATACAAGAGCGTCGCAGAGTATTTTTTAGTCACCCGACTAACACCACCAAAGTAGAACCAAGACCTGCTAACGACGTTTCCTTGCTCCATGAAGCGTCATGGCAGGTGGAGGACGCCAAGCCATCGATTCAACCCGAGACTTATGACGAGCGTACTTCGACGCGTTGATTGGTGACGAGGCCCAGTCGAACTGTGACGCAGTACATCGCGTCCAATCTGCGTCTTTGCTCGATCTCACCGTGATGACGTCAAAACTCTAGTGCACAGGCTTCAATTATTTTATTAGGTAATGCCCCAGTCAAGCTGAGAACTACACACTAACTCGGTGTTGATAAACGAGCGTGTGGTCGCGTGAAAACTATGGGCAATGCAGATCCGCAAAATCGAAGCGTTGTCTCGTTATTTTATAGGTGCGAGCATAGCCGAGTCTACAAGTACTAGCACGCTGTCCCTAAGAGGTACTATTTCACTGCAGGAGTGCGCGTGCTCGGCAGGCCCATTCAAAGCACGAAGAGCCTCAAGTGACAGAGACAGATATTAGCTATACCCGTGGACGACTTTCTGTGACTGCGTACGGTGGAAGATACGGGAGGGCTTGTTTGAGGGCCAATCAAAGCTGGGCACACGCATTCCTCCTCTCGACGGAAATGTCACCGAAAGTTTCACGCGAACCTATTTTCGTTGTCACATCAAGAAAAAAAATGCTCATTCGTCATGCGCTGCGGGAAGTAGTTCTTGCGATATTTAGTTGAGGAAGAAAGTCACGATGCTCTCGGTGCTCAAAAGTGTAAGTTTCGATAAAATAGCAAAAAGCAAATCTAAGGGGAACGTATACATATATATGTTAATTTAACGCACGAACGGGGAAATTAGTAGAGTTTCGCGAGGAGGCGGACTTTAACTTTTCCTTCTTGAGGTGAATGCTAGTATAGAATATTCGAAACCGGCGCAATCGAATTTTTCACATCATCACAGTAAGATCGAACAAAAACATGTATAGAATACAAGTGCTGTCAGCGTTCAACTGGGCTTCGTGTATAATCAACGCGTCAAAAAACGCGTTAACTAAAAAAGAAGAAGAAAAAAAAAACGCATTTTGGGCGCGATACGTCGGAAAATCTTTACCGCCGTGAAGTGACGTCAAAGATATCAGATACCAACTCAATACTGTGACGTCATAACATTGTGCTGGCGCTGCTGTGGGCACTGCGCACGCACAGACGCCGCTCCTCAAGGACATCTGGTTTCTGCCCACGCGCTTGGCCCTAGTGTGGGCGAAATGCGGGCTTGCGAGTAAACAGAGTGTTCATGTAGACTGGAATTCTTTGGAGCGCTCTCGGTGCTCTGCGGGAAAATGAACTCGCAGGCTCTTTTCAGAGTGTATACGCCCTGGTTGGCTTGATTTCGGACGCGCCTTGCTTAAACGAAATGTTTAAAAAAAAATTCACTGTCATGGAAGTTGCTTCTGTAAATGTTTTTACTTTCGATGATCTGCCACGTGACCGGTCTTCCGTGCAATGTTATTCAAGTTTTTTTTTAATGATTTTTTTCCTTTTTGCAGGCTGCTCAGCTTGAACTGCTGCATGGCCTGGTAGACAGCTGTTCCCACTGAAGCGATCGTTGCTCCCCGCAAGATTCCCACTAAAATAAAAATAATAGAAAGCATATTCTTACTTTTCTTGGAGTGCCGTGTCATTCAACCCCTTCGTGGATTAACAAAGTGTCGTTCATCACTCCGGCGTATTGTGATGAAGGAGTTCACAATACGAGCGGCCTCTCAAACCCCGAGCGAACAATTGCTGGAATAATATTTGTCTGTTCAATAAAATACGATTCTCCCAGAGTAAAAAGGGGATTGTGAATCGGTCACGATGCGCACTTTTCTATTCGTTCAGTAGCGGTAGTCCCAGTAAATAGAATTATTACTCTTTACAGCTGTTACGAACTCTTTGATTAATAATTAAATGCTCGTGGTGTCTTCTGCATTCGAGATGTATCATGACCTTGATTTTAACCTAACTGCAGAGACATTCCTGCACGTCTGTTTTTCCGAAGATCACGTAACGAACCAATCATTGAGATCTACGGATCGCGTCCAAGGAATACCAATGAGCAAAAAAAAAAAACAACAAAAAGATAATTCTCGAGAAAGCACTTTGTAAAGCGACATCAAGCACGCTAAACGCCCTGCTTGTGTTCCCAAGCAAGCTGGGGTTTTTGAGCCAAAACACCTTTTCAGCCCTGTCATCCGCTGAACGTGCCACGTGGCTCGCAGTGACTGTAGCACCTGTTCCACAGCGAAGCGGGCTCCCAGACATTTCCAGATCATATCCAGCAGTATATGTGGCGTGTTCGAAACTGTTTCGTGCTTGCTTGTTTTGGTCTGAGAGGGGGCGAGGATTTCTCGAGTACTCTTCGCCCACCTTGAACTGCGATAGGGTTACAATCACATCGCACTCTCGATCTCTGCTAAATAATCGCTGTGTTCATTTTATGTGCGTTTGAAGGGATATGAACAGAAGATGGAACAGTCGCCCCTAGCAGTTCATTTCAAGTGCATAGGCAAAAAACACACGCTCCTTCGTTCGTTTCTAACGCAGGGTTACGTAGGGGTTCGAGTTCAATCAATCAAGCACCGACTAAATTCGATTCCAGACTTGGACGCAGCTCTCGTGTCCAGTATCCGCTCCTCGCTCAATCGAGAAAGATGACGTAAATGATCCAGTCCACGTGCCTCGACTTGGGTAAACACAGAGCTGTGTAGCAAACAAGTTGGACAAAGCGTCTTCTGTAGTTCGATTTCATCGCGGAGGCATCAGAGGGGGACATGAAAAACACGCGTTCTGCTACACGTGTGAGCTCATCACTTTTTTTTTTTTTTGGGGGGGGTAGGGGGGGGGGGCTTTGTTTTTTTTTTTCATTTAAGCATATACAGCACTCAATGCCAGGCAGCTATGAGGCAGAGCAGATGTCAGAGATTGTGCTGTATATCAACTATACACGCAGGTCGAGGGATTTTCAAATCCGTTCCCCTCAGCGTATCGTCTCAAAATACAGCGAGCCTCCATTTGTATGCTCGGTGGGGCCTGAATGGAAACCACTGCGCGCTGCAGCTGCCGCGTATTGCATATCGGATTACTCTCGCCGTGTTTTCATCCGTCATCTAGCCCCGGTGATGCATATATAAAGAGAAACGCCCCGCCATAAAAAAAAGATTTTCCACCGGTTCTCGAAGTGGAGTTGAGGCGTGCATTACCATGAAGTTCTTACTGGCATGTTACCTCCACGCCGTTGTGATCTTCGTGGCGTTTGGTCTGAATTGGGAACACTGCGGTAAGTGTGTTTATTTCTTCATCACAATGTCGCGTATTATGTGTCATCATTGTATCGTCAGCCAATCAAGCGGTGCCAAAAGTTTATTGTCCTCACGCTCGTCGCCTTTGCGCGTTTGCTATACCCGGCTAAATCAATCGCGGAAAGCGATTGCACAGTGATTCTTTGCTTTGTTTGGCGCGTGTTAGATACAGCCGGTTGTAGGAACCGGATGAATACGACGAGAGCCCTGATTTCGGCGCTGCATGGTCGACTCTAATCAGGGTGTAGCGTCTGCGGCGACCGGATATAGAGTGAAACAAAGTGATGTAAGTGTACGTAAATCTCCTTTATCTATATTTCAGGTCATTCTAGACAATATATACACCACGTTTATTTCAACATTATATAAAGCATGATTCTAATATAGTGCGACGCGAAAAAAAAATGTGGTACTCCCACGTGTACAATATAGATAAAGAGTTGGCGAAATGAATTGAACGCACTTTTAACTGACAGCATAAACCGGTTTCTTAACTTATCGCGCTGGGATTTACTACAGAGGTGTCTGAAGTTAGTGGAAGACTTCGTGAAAATTTCGGGAAGATGTGTGAGTAAACCAAGGAAAAAAAAAACTGTTTTCTTGTACATTGCATGTACACTAAACAGATATTATGTGTTACTGTGGCAGTTATTTCTGCCAAATGAAGTGAAGGATAGGTAAGCCAATTCAATTTAATCGGAGTAAACAGCAGAATAGTCCACAGTGATTTTCTGATTTCGAGATAAAAGAATTTAGCCATAATGTTTGCACAGAAAAGAAAAGATTTCTTTTTTGTTGTTTTTCGCTTCGAAGGTTTGTTGTATTTGTACTCTCAATTAATGGATGCAGTAGCTTCGAGCAGCTCTGTAGCAAATCCCAGCGCGATAAGTTAAGAAACCGATTTATGCGATCAGTTTAAAGTGCTTTCAATCCATTTCGCCCATGCTGTGGTAGTGATTGCTAAAGTTTCCTAGGAAGTTCGCACTCCTGACGAAAGGGTATATCTGACTATCTGACAGGACTGCTCCGATACGTCCGTTGTAAATGAACGTGCCAATCGTTTGATTGTCAAAGCCGCGGTATTCCAAATTGTGACACCACCGCACCGCGGTGGTGGGCTTTCTTCCTGCGCAGAAAAAAACGATCTCGAAATCAGGACACTGCTTGACTGCGTCGAATCGAAGGTTCCCTTTTATGTGAGTATTACCTCTTGCACAGTTTTTTTGTCTATAAACAGTATTACAGTAAGACACGCAGAACGTGGTGAGTTTTAGATATCCTATTATCACTTTCCAACCAATGAGGTTTTGGCATGAGCCAATAAGATCATTGAAGAGCGAATCACGATGCAACGAACGTGAACATACTGAGACACGCTTTTTTGAACTGGATTTAACGTATAGAACATGGGGGGGGGGGGGGGGGGTATGTCCATCCTTCTCATCCGTAGTCTGTCCTCCTCCTCTCTAGAAGTATTTTGATTTTGCGTTGTACCGTGCTAAACAATCTTATATATACACATATATATATATATATATATATAGAGAGAGAGAGAGAGAGAGAAAACGAAGCGCAGGATGACGAAAAGTATTCGCGACTCCAGCAAAACGGACGCCGCCAAGCGGGAAAACCTGGAACCAGTCGGTCCAGGTCGCTCCGCGCCCCGCCGCGTCTCTGGTGGCTTTCGCGGACACGTGCTGTCGGCGCGGGGGCCAGCAATGTAATTTGACGAAGGTCCGAAAATTTCTTAAGTTTGCCTGAGTGTTCATTAGTGTGGTGAAGCCTCAGTAGATTGTCTCTTTCCATTGCGTGTTTGAAAGCCCGTTGACTCCAAAACACACGGTCGCGTGCTTTCAATTTTTTGGATGGGGAGGAATCACGGAAAAACGTTTTGATTTCTTGTCTGTCTCTAATCACATTCAATGTGACGACTGCTTGATAACTGATAACTGGTTTCTTTATAAGGATGTAGAACAGTGGACTGAGGTCGACAGACGAAGTGTTTCACTGGAGGGAACACCAATGTTGCAGTCAAGTGAATGGGAAGGTTCGACAGCTGCTTTTCTTGAGTTCGGTTGTGCTCGATTAGCTTCAAGTTTTGAGCCACTAACGCCGGCCGGTGCGTTGGTTATTCATCTTTTTTATCAAATCCTAGTTTGCACTTTGGTAAAACCCTCATCAAAGCATGCTGATTGTTACTATCGTTTGGCGCAGATGGCCTCGTAGCTCTTGCGCCATTAAACCCCCAAAATCATCAGGTTTTTCATCTTGGCTGCTTTTCGCCGAAAAAGACCACACTGAAGGAGTTGGGCTAATTTCGCAATTACTTGATTCAGAAAACCTGCTCGCTGCAAATGATGAATGAGGGAAATTATCTGCTTTCAAAGGGTGGGGGATGCGTCTCGCAAAGTTAGAAGCTGTCACGTCGTTGGGATCTATCGCGCCTCCAATATTGATATTATAACCCCTGTCGAGGCCAGCAGCAATATACGGCTACATTGCTCACGTTGACCGGCCACAAAAAAATACTCATTTTATCCGTTCAGGATTTGAAGTCAAGTTCAACGCAGGGAGGTCTGAGTGAATCTGCAATGAAGACTCTCCTCAGTTTGTCCGCATTCGCCTCCGTTCTACCGGCTAGAACCACTTGGCTAAGTTTAAGTAGTACCTCTCTGTTCGTCAAATATACTTTTATTCAGCAGTTCACCTAATAGTTAGTCAACTAAGTTCATATTTCAACCCGAAGAATATACTAATATCGCTTTAGTGGGACATAGTACGTAATATAATTCATAATCAGCATATTCGTCAAAATGACTTCTCGATTGCGACTAAAACCTGAATTTAAATACGAGCATCAGCTGCTTAGTGAAGCGCCAGAGGGTTAACATGCTTCTTGGCTCAAGAAGCGCTTGCTTAATTTTCGTAATTTTCCTGCAGCCTGTGTTCTTGACCGAGTACACGACTGGAGCTGTTTCTTGCATGCGAGTTAGCTAAAAATTACTCTCGGTGGAACAATTTTGTAGCCATCGCCGCTTTCCTTAGATGATCAAAACTAATTAGAGTCTATGGTTGAAACATGGTTGAAAAACCCCGCAGTCTCGGGGTTTTTTCAACCATGTGGAATGTACACCAGCTCGTTTGCGCCCTTACTTTTTGTTCATTAGAGTCTATTACCGTTTCTCCGGAGCCCATAGTTTCGGTTTTGAACGAAGTCGCCGAAACGAAAGTTTGACATGAAAAGAACCAAAAACACCGGGAAAACAAAACTATGCTCGGCAAGTTTATGCGCACCGGCTACACTTAACCGTCTCAGTTGAAATACCCATAAAATTGGGCATTAAACAAAAGAAAGTCTGTTAAACTGAATGCGCCACCCATTCAGGCGGCCCGGCCGAGCCGACGCGACCTGGACCCAGCCGCCATGTTTGTTTGGTGGTGGCGCCCCCTATAGGTCGCTGGAGTCGCGAATATACGGAAGAAAACGCACCTGAGACGGTTGTTGGAGTTTTTTAAAACATAGTATTGGTAAAGTTGGTCAACGTTTCGGCCTGAGACAGGCCTTTCTCGAGACCAGGTCTGGCTCAGGCCGAAACGTCGACCAACTTTACCAATACTATGTTTTAAAAAACTCCAACAACCGTCTCAGGTGGGTTTTCTTCCGTATATATATATATATATATATACACGTATATACATATGCAGGGTATTTTTTTTTTTAGCCTTAGCAGATTTGTTTAAAAAAAGCCGTGAAAGTTACACTTATGCCGCTTGTGGAAGTGAGTTGTACGGCCAAGGGGACATATTATAGGGGGCTAATCGTAACGATGAGTCGACTAAATAATTAAAATTTGTTTTTTAACTTTTTAATTAACGAAAATAGACATAAGGTTCCAATTAGAAACTTGCTCAGCGTCATCGAAAACCACTAAATCAGTAATTTTCGGAACGACTTTGATAGCGTGAAAAGCTTAGTAGTGCACTAAAGTTACCACTCGAGGAGCAGGTACAAAGCTAGCGGTTGCGATAAGGCGCCCGCGCGATTTTTCCGTCTCTTATCTAGCCCCAGCCTTGTACCTTCTCCACGGGTGGTAATTTAGTACAATGCTACGCTTCTCACGCGCAAAAAGTCTTTCTGAAAATGACTGATTTAGTGGTTTTCGATGACGCTGAGTAAGTCTCTAATTGGAACCACGTGTCTGTTTTCAATAATTAAAAAGTTAATTAACTAATGTTGATAAATTAGCCGACTTATCGCTACGATTAACCCCCTATAATATGTCCCCCTGGTCGTATAACTCACCTCCACAAGCGGCATAAGTGTAACTTTCACGGCTTTTTTTAAACAAATCTGTTAAGCTTAAAAAACACCCTATATATATATATATATATATATATATATATATATATATATATATATATGAGTAGTGGTACTCTCACTCACCGCTTGTCCGGAGAAAGGAGATATGGTTCTCACATCCTCACATCTGGAAGCTCCACTCTGTCTAAATTCTGCCGGTGCCAGGAAACAGGGCAGCAGGAGCAAGGCGGGAGAATGATACAGTGTTAGAGCCAACACTCTGAAGAAGCACGTGATACTCTCGATGTCATCCTACTTGCTCTCGGCTCTGTCGAAGACTCCTTGGCGTTTTTGATTTCCCCAGCATTAGTCTTGAGCGTGCTCCCACGAGATGTCACAGCAGAACAGCGAGTGCACATCCCTCGGGGTCAATGGGATGTTTTCCTGCATGACTGGTATAAAATTCTTATTTGTCTTCCACTAAATATTTGGTGAGTGCTGTAAGTGAGAGATACAGAGCTATCACGAGCAAGCCGTTGTCGACCTTGGCGGCACACAATTTACGAACTTCGTCTCACGTGCCACAGAGATCGATGAGTACAGCACAGACCCGTACCCATGTAGACAGACAACTTGGATAACGAGTACACCACGTTTTGATACGTGTCTCCCTGTGATTTATGAATGGTGATATTACTTGCCTGCAGAACAGGTAGCTGGCATCTCCCCTCCTCCTCCTCCCTCCTCCTCCGCTTCCCCTCTTTCTCTCCTCCTCCCCTCCTCCCTCCTCTTCCCCATCCTCTCCTCCTCCTCCCTTCTCCACTCCTTCTTCTTCTTGACGTCACTCGTGAAGGTCACTGAAAAGGTCGTGACCTTCGTCATGACATTCGCGATTGACCTTCGTGATGTCACCCGTGACCTTTGTGACACCACTCGTGACCCTAGTGACCCTCGTGACGTCACGTATGGCGTCATTATGGGACACGTCCTACAATACAGCGCGCGACTACGCAGACGGCGACAGCGACGCCGCTCAAGCCGGAAACGGGCGCCTAAGAGCTGCGCTTTAAAAGGAACCCTAACATTTTTGCTCCGCTACATAAGCGGCAAAATTCAATGATTTGAAGGTTGGAGCGAAGCGGCTGGCCGATTGGCTGCGGGTTAGGCTCATGGCTGCCGTGCCGAGGACGTGCACGCATCGTCACCACAGCTGCCAAAGACAACTTCCATCGACGTAGCTTCGGGCTCCGAACGCGATCGGCGTTACCAATCGGCCTGGGCCATTGGAGGCTAGGCCCGGGCTGTTTATACTTCAGCGTCGGCGAACCCAACGCACGCCGACGTAGAACGATGTTCGTCGTCCGTTTCGCCGCGCTCCACCGCGTTGAGAAGAGCCCGACCAAACGTGTTTATAAAGTTTAGCGTGTTGGTATGATCAAAGCAGCGGTTCGGGGAAGGGCGTTGTACCGCAATAGGTTGGAAAAAAGAAACCCAACGCAGAGATAACGAGTGCAAATAATTTATTTATTTATTTATTGTCCCCCTAAAGTCAAAGCAGGACATTACATGAAAGGGAGAGGGGGAGGAAATAAATGTGGACAGAAGACATAAATGTGGACAGGAAAAAAGCACTCACTATACTCCACTACCAATATCCATATACAAAAATGAAGGACTAAAAGAGTGTCTGATGTAGATACAGCAACGCTTCAGCCACAATGAACATTGCTGAGATATCCATGGCGTCGTCATCATGCGTGTATATACTCATCACATAATAATGTTCACTAGACGCGGCACCGCGGGCATCATGGTACGGCCTTTCCGCGGTGTCGCGGCTTTCCAGAGCCAAATAAATAAAGACTAAAAACTAAGAACTGAAGACAAAATGCTTTG